TCGCGCTATTGCTCGAAACCCAAATATAGACTTACAATCAATAGGAATCTATTCAAAATCAGATATTCAACATCACATTAGAACACAACAATTCCAAGAATTATTAACACAAATGGACACTATACAAAGACAATCAATAGACCAAAATTTACGCAAACTTGCAGAAACTGCAGGATTTGCCGATATCTACACGCAAGACTATAGCGGATATTTTAAAGACATTAAAGATTATATATATCTAAACGGCGAAAAATACCGTCCCCAAGATATATCACCAATTAACATTTTTAGCTTTGTTACACTCAAAAATGAGATCCTAGATTTTCTAGGATGGCCCTACTACATCTTAGAAAAATTGACTATTTTATACGCAATGTTTAACTTTATTGGATTTCTTTTCTCACTCTTAAAAGGAATCTACAATACATGTGCTATACACACACAAGTAAACAGACAAGCAAGCGTAGCACGCATACTTTTTGCAGGATTTTTTGGAATTTTTTCCACATCTATAAACAAAATTCTTTTAGACGCACAAATAAAAGAATATAACACAAAAATAACAACACGACAAAATACATACGACGAAGAACATAACAATGTCGACCCACAGCCAACGGCACCACAATTACCACCCCTACCAAATAACCATCCACTATCCCTAGTCCCACGAAATTTTAGAAATTTAGCAATCACACATAATCCAAACTTTAGACTCACCACATCACAAAGTCCCGTCCAACATATAATGACACATCAATCACAAGATGATAATACTTACGAACAAATTATTGAACAACCACATACCACCGCTTTTCAATCTCAAAATAATAATTTTTTTAGCCCACGATGAGCCGCCAACTTGGATCACTCCATCGATCAAATTCCCATCCAACCAACCTTACCTCTTCAATCCCAATAATACCACTTTTTGCTTTTCCGCCACCCGATTTTCCATCTAGCAATGTAACATCAGGCATGAATTCCGACACTAACTCACAAATTTCAGTTTTATACTCCATTTCACAGCTAAATAACCCGAATATTGAAACCCCCGACGAATTTGCCGACTCAGAACCATCTCCATCCAATAATTTTCATAACCCTTCTCAGTTTTCTCAACCTCCTTTTCAACCCATATTGTCAAATAACCCTGACCCCATCACTCCTACACCCTCTTATGCTTCCCAAGTTACCCCAACCTACTCCTCATACCATTCTGACCAATCATCTCCAGACACCCCCCGAATCTCCCCAGAGCTAGACAATTTTATTACCCTCCAACAACAACCCTACCACCTTAACACCCCGACCATAAACCAAATCTCCTCCACTACAAATTCATCCAATCCCCCTACACCCTCTTCAAATTATACTGAATCATTAGCACCATCATCCACATCAACTGAATCCTCACTCAACACTAATAGAGCTTACCGCACTTTTAAAAGAAAGTTCCCCAACCATCCTTTCCCAGCAAAACCAGGAACAGCCCGTGAATACATCAACCACCCCCAACATACTAACACTAGAGAATTTTTAGCTATCACTTTACCCTCATTTCCACAATACACCTTAAACACCCCTCATGACGCTAACGAAACACGCAACTTTGTAGACGAATACGTTTTAATGCCCACTCTCTCTTGGACCTCATACTATCATTTCACTAATCCTCTTTGCTTACCTTTAACCAACACATCCATCGATATAGACCGAAACAAAGACATGCTATATCGACTAACTACACCACTCACCGCTAGACAATTTACTTACGTAGGATATAAAAAATCACTAAAAATACACACTGCACCTAGAGCTAATGAATATACACTAGAATACTACGATCACAACATCATCAGAGCTAACCAAGATCAATTCTTAGACGATGATCGCTTCGCTAACCCACAAATCACCGAGAAATTTTTCATCAAGACACCATATGTATTTACACTAAACATCTTCGACCGAAAGTTTGATCACATTATTTCAGAAGCACTAACAAGCACACAAGCGTACGAAAGTTTTAAAGAACGCTTCCAAATCTTTTCACTAACCTTTCATTTCCTTGCACCACACGAAAGAGATTTACACTGCTCACACGATATTATGTTGCGAACTAAACAAACACATACATACAGTTACTATCGTTTCATCCAAAATCACTTTGACCTCCACACACCCTCTAGACAACCACACCATCGCTTTCAATTCATCAATTCAAAATACACTTCACCGTATTTCCTAAATTTCACATATTGTATTAAAGATACTAACCTTCATGGTATTCTTCGTAACTATGACCCCATAACCCAAATGTACATTTTCTGCCCCATCACCAAGACCTTCAACGCCGAAGAATCCCGACCCTTCCTTATCCCGCACGAGTTTGTACAGCCTATAGAAATCCCCATTTTAGAATTCATCCACAACACTAAATTTAACCACAAATTATATAACTTAATCCAAAACACACCTTATGAGTTTGCAGTAGGCACTGAAGAACTAACCATTATTAAGGCACTTCAATTGCTTTGGCCACTGCTTCAAACTAAAAATATCATCCGCATCTTAGCTAAACTACTAACAACTTCAGAACTAGTTCACGATATCTTCCCCCACGGTTTTTTCCCCGACGACTAACAGGTAAGTATGAATTAAATGAATATTACTAACTAATTAAAATATTAAAAAACTCACCATTCTTTATTCATGTTTTCTTTAGATTTTTAGCCTTCATCTTCGATCATCTGAAAAATTCACAAAAGAAAAATAAAAAATAGCAAACTTCTTCAAAACTGTTTAAGACCCTTTTAACTTTTGCACCAACAATTAAATAAATATAATACCAATGCAGTAAATTAATTTATAAAATTTTCCCCCAAAGCAGTAAATCTACATATGATGAAAATTTGTATCTTAAAATTCCCCCATTACTAGCAGTAAATTTCCAAATTCTATGCAGTAAATTAATAAAATGCAATTGCAGTACTAACCTTTTGATATTTTCATTCATTCGCACAGAAATTCTATCCACACTCACACAGCTCGCCCACGAAGAATTGTTTAAAATAATGAATTTCAGTTTCAAGTTTTCACACTCAACAACTCTAACATATAATAACAAGTTTCAAACTTTCCTTTAACCCGGTTGGAAAGGAATCATATACTAAACAAAACTAACCAACGCAGCTTACTAAATACCACAAATCATAAAATAACAGCATGACTAAGAAAAGGAAACCAACGGTACCCAAACCGGATTAACCCAGTTTAAAACTGGATAATTTATTCTTTTGAAGACTATTACAAAGTCTTAGAAAGAAATAATAAAACACAAAAAAGTCGAAAGACAAACCCATACCACAAACAATTTGCTTTTTGAACAAAGTACATAACCAACAAGACATAAGTAAAACCACAACAAACCCAACATAAAATGTTGTCACATAACAGGACTCCTCATAAAAACCGCATGAAATCATACTCCCACACCTGGCCTAACCCACCAGGAAAGGACGTCCTGAGCATGCTCTATAGCCGGCCTAACCCACCGCGCTACATCCACGCTTTGTGACCACACCTTTATTTTTAATAAGAGCTACTCAAGGGTGAGTAACTCTTCAAAATAACCGAACTAAAACAAAAAGCTTTTGTGAAAACAACTAACTAAAATCATTATTAAAAAATATATTAAACTAATAAAAGATTTATAAAATGTAAAATTACATGATGCAATATATAGATCAGAATACAACACCAAGGACGAACATCAAAAGACAAGACGACCTCACTACACTCGAGAGAGAATGACCAACTACAATCGATATGCCGCTCACAATCACAACTCAAAGGATTTAGAGTACGACTTGACTTCGCAGAAAAGGACTTCATTGAACTAGACCAATGACCACCTCGATGTTCAAGTATACGTACAGATCCGAGTAACCAGGCATCCCCTCCATGCACAATCTCCACGCCATTCCCGAGCTAGATCAAACACAAAAGAAGTTCTCTCCGAAGAACAGAAAAACCTGACATAGCCAACCATTCTGAAACCAGAATTGATGCTGTTGCAGAGACTCAGTCGTTGTCACAAGAAGAACACAACGTCTTGTGTCCTCAATTCCAGATCCCTGGAACTTCCTTAACAAAAAGGAAACAAAAGAAAAATGATGTTCGCCAAATACCAACGTCCATCATCCATCCTTGAACTACAGAAGAACTGTTCTAAAAAACTCTGTAAAACCCGGATGGGTGGAACCTGATCTAAACTATATTTTATGATTGGATAAATTAAATGTTTTACCAATGTAAAGTATTTAATATTAACCAATCATGATCCATCTAACTAACAACCCACTTATTTGTAAGTGCTGAAGTTACTTGTAATTTCAGCACCAGAGAGATTTGAATTTAACTTAGAAATTAGTTGGACTCTCCCGAGCACTTCAGCAGCCGCAATAAACCAGTATACCCTAGATCTATTGAGCCTAGCAGAGACTAGTTAAACAACCTGAGACTAGATAGTATAAGAGTAAGATTAGGATCGGTATTAGACTAAGAAGTTGCACGAATCTATCCGGCCGAAAATAAGATAGCGTGACGAGCAGACGGTGTACCCTATCCGAAATTACTCTATGAGTTATACACCCCAGACATAACTCATTTGAATTAGTTTTATCAGCCATTGACCAGGTAGGAGTTATGGCGTAATTTTTGATTGAACAAAAAATGATCCATTTTTGGGTTAAAACTAAGGTCCGAATTTCGCAACACAAATTGCACCATAATAATTTCGCCAAAATTCTATGCAAGTTAAGCGTTCATCTTTTTTTCGTCCAATGCCAGCTCAATTTGAGAAAAACGCGTTTTAAAAGTTTTGAGCGTTTTTTTCCGGATAACTCAAATCAGCGCACTGTATAAGCGTCCTCAATACGTTTATTTACACTCAAACACAACTTGTGAAAAAACATGCTGCAGTTTTGAGTTCGTTATACCTGTTCTCTTGGATGCCAAATGAGCACTGTAGCTGTCAACATTTGACTTCTTGTCATCGTGTGCTCCGCCCTAAACATCGAATACTTCTGTTGTTCAATATATGACAAAGCGGACTGTTGTATCTTCTAGCGAATCACTCATGTAATAGGTGCTTGATACAGTTTACGGCGTAATTGCACTACTATAAACATAATAAAGCATTGAGTAAATGTTGCTAACGGATGAGTTTTGAAGCGAGTGCATCATGAAAATCTGGTGTTTCTTCAAAACAACTCCTGGCTGCTTCTTTGGTCCACCAACAAGATTCGCAGACATATCACTCGAAATCGACGATGACATATCACAAGCCCCTGGTAAAGCTGTTCTCATACTTGGCGAATGAAAATCTGATGCGGATGTTGGGACTCCGAAGACAGTTGAGGAATTGTCGGGATCTGAACTTGGAGATGATCCGGTATCTGAGAGCTCGCCTCTTTGGAGTGGTGCCTCGGAAGCATCCATGGCGGCGTCTGGTTCTTGTTTGATTCCAGCTGCTAAAGCTTCTTTGCGTTGCTTTCGGTGTTGAAGTTTAGCCTGCAGTGCCTGCATTCCGGGACCAGCGGCTGAAAAGATCAACAAATCGAAACATAAACAAAATCCGGTTGGAAAAATGAAAACAAATGAACACTGAGGCGAATTTTATGAAATATATGAAGTCAGATAGATGAACCAGGAAATCAATCAGAAATTGCAAAAGCAAAATACCGATTACAATACAAGCAGGTGACAAACTTAGGAGGCGCCAGATTTCATGATATGTTTATCATGTATAACAGACAAAAAATGCAAAAAAATGAATGATGATCAGAAAAAAAACGAAGTTTTGAAGCTGGCTTTTGCTGTTTTAAAAATAGACACAGAGGCAAAGCTGCGCTTCGCAAACACGTGCGAGAACACGACCAAAAAGCAGCTCTATCAAGAGAAATAAGAAGTAGAAATATGCCTCGAATTAGCAAAAACTCGGCTACGTGTAGGATTCGAATCTGCGACCTACTGCAATCAAGAGATTTTGAGTCTCACGCACTATCCACTCAGCCGAGCAAGCTCAGCAACCGACAAACACTAATCACGAATAAAGCAGCTAAATATGCTATACATTGCCAATGCCATTCAGCAAAAGTGGCATCAAATACAATAGACTCAATTTAGCAAGTAAAAATTTGGACTATCACAAACTGAAGGCATCCACGCTAATTTTGCATGTATCTCATCTTTAATTATTATAAATAAATTATGCACTTGAAAAAATTGCGAGATAAAGTGAGTTTTTAAATAATTTTCATTATTGTTGTTGTTTGAAACAAATCACTTGTTTTGGTTCATTTGATGAATTAAAATGCATCAACTGTGTTAATTTATTACTATTGGAATGTCAAAGCACATGCTAGCAAAAAGATGTAAAGGTGCCCTAAAAGTGCCCCCAATACTTGCGACTTATGTTGGAAAAAAGAAAAACGTTCGTACTAATACACTCGCTTCGGAAGTGTAAAATATAGTTTCCAATCTCCACACGCACACACACACGCGCGCACGCACACACACACACACTATTAGCTTCACTGAATTTCATATTCTCAAACCAGATACAGACAACGACTTTAAAAAGCGAATGGAAAAACTTTCGAACAGTCAACGGACAAAACAAAAACTGCAATTTAAAAAACTTAAGAAAGCCAGATAAATATCGAAAACGTATTCAGAAGGTGTAAGCGACCAACAGACAATTTTCTATCAAAACTCTGAGAAAACTATTTGATGAAAATCTAATCAAAATCGTAAAATGGGTGAGCATTAGAGCCGACAAATTTAGCAGCAAAACTGTTCAATTGCAAAAATCGACAAGGTGATATTTGACACAGAGGCGAAGCAGCGCTTCGCAACACTTGCAATGCAAAAAAAACACATTGCGCTACATGATAAAGAATGAAAAAAGACTGTCTAAGAAATACTTGAAAAATCGAAAAAAATACAGCTAAAAATATAAGATGAGGCTCATAAACAGCCTTGAAAAAAGGGAAAGTCATTGACCGGGTGGCAACAAATTGTGGGTCGAAACCTGTTGAGCCGAGAAAACAAAACTCTGGTCATAAAAATTTCATTAAGTTTTAAAAGTTTTTACGACACATCCACTCTGAAACACAAAATCGCACATGACTATATTTGCCCTCGATATTACGCAATAGAAGATAACTAAGCTGATATATGACATAAACTGAAACTAACTAAAAATTTAAAAAAAAAAACTACAAAAAGAAAAAAATTACCCACATTCAGACTTATTAAATTTACGAATTACTGAACTTTCAGTAATAGTAGACAAACTAATTAAATAGGAAAATAACTCAATAGGAATAAATTAGGTAAAAAAAATCCCATCAGAAAAAAAGGGGTTTAAAAAACGGAAAATGCACTGACAGAAACTAGGACGAAAACCAGGAACACAAAAAAAAACTTCCAATTTTTTTTTGAAAAAATAATTACAACTGAAACGGCTTTTACCTAATTACTCTTTGAATGATGACAGCTTAAATTAAATTTTCAAGAAATTGAGCATGTCATTTACCATTTCTACTAAATTTACCATTCTGTGAACAAATTATTTATGGGAAAAACTCCAATTCCCGATTGCAACAAGTCTAGTTCAATTACCGATAGCAATACGTCTAGTTCCCGATAGCAATACGTCTAGTTCCCGATAGCAATACGTCTGGAAAAAGTCTAGTTCCGATTGCAAGTTGATATTTGAAAGCCAACTTGAAATTCAAACATCCATAAAAAGAAATCGACTAAGCAAGGTAGTTGGCGAGTAAAAAATGGAACTATGTCGAAAAAGAAGCAACGAAAACTTCCAAAAAATAAATCAAAGGTCAAACAGCGGAAAATCAGATTTGAGCGTGATCACAATTTGAGACTTTTTCTTGCGAAAAAAAAACGAGAAAAAAAACCATCGACCTATATTAGGGTCTTCACTACGATCATTGATTCTCAAAAACAGCATGACCTAACTAGGTGAAAACTCAAAAATTCGCTTCCCTATTAACGCTTAATAATCATCATACTGTAACTGAATATAATTCTGTTCCTATAAGCGAACCTGAGCATGACGTTTCTGATACAAGGCATGGTGCCTAATTTTTCCTTTTTTACGTTTTTTGGGCAACATGAAAACCTTTTTGTTTGATAAGATAAATATAGCCAACAAACAGTTGGAAAAGAGTCATTAACGCAAAGAAATATATATTAACTTCAAATTTCGGATACAAGAAAGTATGGCCTTAAAGCCCATTGAACTTCAAGAACATTTTATGATTTACACTTTTTCAAAAAAACTAACACAATTTCAAAAAACTGATCAATTGGTAAGCTTTTTATTCCACTGAAAATCTGTAAATTAAATTCCACTTTCAAAGCTAGAACTCGATCACGTTTTTCGCAATTTTCAAACTTTTGCTGCTCGATTGCGTTTGCCTTCCCTTTAACAACAGAAATGAAAGAACTAAACGAAATCGCAAGTCAAACCTCGATAAATCAATTTTGCGCGTAAGCAAAATTTACTTTCGAAACTGAAAATCGATCACGTTTTTTCTCGCTATTTCAACTTTCATAATTGGAGAGCGCATTTTGCCTATTTTTTTTAGCAAATTGACATGAATTGAACTCAAAAAATGCACGTATGACCAATTCATTTATGTATTTATAAGTATGAATGCATTCCATTTCTTTCGTTATTCGAGCATTTTAAAACTTTTTCCTTAGAAAAAACACCAAGACCTATATAAGAGTATTCACTACGTTCATGATTCTTAAACATAGCATTAAGCATTTTTCAACTTGAGATTTGAAGAAAAAATATACCAGGTTAAAGTTTTTGGAATTCAAGAACTGGATCAAAGGTGAAATTTTAATTCCCCTGGGAAATCTTGAAGTTAAAATCAACTTTCGAAACTAGAAGTCGATCACGTATTTTTTTTGCTCCATTTCCAGTTGAGAGAACGCAATTTGCCTACCTTTTAGCCGAACTTAAGTTAAACTATAAAAGTGCATATGTGCCTAAGTGCATTCATAAACGCACTAAAATGCATGATGCATTTCTAGAGTTATTAGAGCTTTCCTGAAATTAAATCATCAAGACCTCTAAAATCAAATCGTTCTTTTACAGTCAACAAGAAAGTCTCTCTGCCAAAATGTTGCATCCAGATACAATTGCACTTTCCAGCACTCAAAAATTTTTCGAGAAAACTTACCTTTCGACGCAGACGAAGAAGCTTCCCTGCTGCCTTCTCTCTCACTGTGAACTTGTGTGGGTGTGCTGCTTGTCTCCTGGCTGTTACCTAGTTGCATGTCTGCAAATTGAGGTGTAGGAGGAGGCGGCTCCAGTACCACTTTGGGCGGGTTAAAAGCGGCCGGCATCAGCAGAGATGCAGCTGCTACTGCTGAGTTCTGGTCCACATTCGCAGCTCCAAGTAAAGCAGCGGTCGAATATTGCCTAAAATGCATGCCTCGATTTTCACAAATGAAAAACAGAATATTTTCGATGTAAGCATGTGGATTTTTGCTCAAAATTACTTCAAAATCGCTTCATTTTATAAAAGCATTCCTATGAACACTTAACCAAAGCGGTGCGGTGCGCGCCTTCTCTCGGCATTTCAAACGTCATTCAATTCAAGGAAGAATCACGAGAACATTTCATTTACCATCTGTCGCTGACGACGACGCCGGATGTTCAGTCAGTGTTAAGTAGATTTATTTTATTCAATATTGATTGATAGTCGTAACTATCATTAAAGACTCAAGGTCAGTCTGCCGTTCACTGTATGGTTTGAAAAAACTCTCAAACCATACAGTCTGCCATTCACTGTATGCTTACTCGTTTTAGACTATTATGCAATAGTAGAGTCTTTAAAAGATGGGTGCGTATAGGAGGATGAAGAAAGGGCGAACACACATTTATGGTCAAAACCCTTAATTTTGCCTTAAAATTGTATTTTCAGCACAATTGAGGAAAATTTCCGCCAAAAATTTGTCGAAGTCTAGTGAATCTCGGAAAATCAAATTACTTGAAAAAAATTAAAATTTTTGCCCTATCATAAGCTGCATACATTAGAAATATGATAACTTCTCAATTTAATATGATAACTATTTACACCAACCAGGAACTTCCGGTTCTCATCATTACCAACATTTTCTCACATTACTCAGTTTCAGAAGTATTTCTTCACCTGTAGTAAAAATTGAAGAGTTGGTTGTACTCCGCTGACAAAATAGACGAGTTCAAGTGTCTATTGAACAGATTCTGCTGCTGATCCTTCAGGGTGGCCGAATCAGCCGAGAGTGACTGCAGTATTGGCGACGTAGAATTGTTTCCTCCGTCAACTCCTCCTGGCTGAGAAATGTTCCGGTTCGAGGCTGCAAAGGAGAGCAATGCCGGCATCGGTGGAACTGGCAGGTTGTTTGTTGAAGCCGCCGGGCCCTAAACATGAACGTTCGCCTACTATTTGGATACAAATAATAAGAGAGGGGGTGATTCCAGGAATCAACAGTAGAGTTTCAGTATAAAGGGGCAGTCAATTTTTTTGAACAGTCAGAAGTGTAACACCCGAGAAGCAGCTCTCTTCTTGGAAGTAGTCCACATTTAAATTTACGGCCAGAAAGTTCGGAGTGTAAAAGTCATATTAAGTGCAAAATTAAAGAGCTTGGACTGCCCCACCACCCCCCCCCTCCCCCCTCTATAAGTCCAGTGAATAACTCTGGTCTTTCATTGCGCTTGCCCTTATACCGGAGTGTGATTTGCAACTTGGGCTATAGTGCCTCATAGATCAAACAGACAAGGATTCGTCAATCGTTCCATATATTGAGTTCCTGGATCGGCCTAATGACAAAGTCGAGGCAACAGTAAGCTTAGAAACTAGTTTGAGTGCCGAGATCAAACGTTTTCCCAAAAGGGGGTGGGGTGTGCACGCCCGACGTCAAAATTTTAATGAAATTTAGCATCGGGAGCAAAACAAGTCGCAGAATGTTCCGCCTTCCCTGTTAATGGTCTCAAATAGTTGTGGCAAAGAACAGGTTTATAAATTACAATTTTGAATTATTTGTTTTTTGTCCCCAAGCGTAATTCCTGAGTCATACAGCTAACAAAAATGTTTGTTTGTGGGAAAAGCCTTTAAAAGTGTCTGCTTCAAAAAATGAACTTTTTTCTGATTTGTCTTTCTTTTATCTACTGACTCGCTAAGGGATGATATAAGCGTCTTATAATGTACTTAAAAGACCAAAATGAGGGCCTCAATTCAATTTGGAATAATTCAATTCGCCCGCGTACGCGTGTTTTAAGAACGCTACATATCGCGGTTTGGTTATTCCGAATTGGCCAAATTAACCATTTTCAAACCTCCATTTAAAAAAGAACACAAATGAGAAATGATGACAACTAAATTTGAGATCAAGAAAACGATAGCTTTCGGATGGTATAAAAAAGCTTTGAAAATCGGAAAAACAATCATGGAAAAAGAGAACTACGGAGTTGACTGGCAATCAATATCTGGCAAGCGGATGTGGCTCATGCTTGTTGAAATAATGCATCAGATAAACAGAAAAAAAAATGAACGACTTATGTCACCTGGCAATACAAAAACTACGCTTCTGTATTTCGCTGGTTTTAACTGGTACCTATATTTGGGCTAAGTCATTCTAAGCTCAAATGAGGCTAAGCACTAACGATGATTCTCCTGAGCGGTGGATGTGAGTTCGACTCTTGGTTCTGATTGCTGTTAGGTGGAAACGAAGACTGGATAGAGCTGTCCGACAGGTGTCTATACAAGGGAATCGCAGTGGCGGTATTAGACATCTGCTGCTGTTGCTGCAATTGGTGTATTAACAACGCTGTCATTGCTGGATCTCCTGTAATTGACGCGTCGTTTTTCAACTGGGCCAACATTTCACTTTGCGTAATTCCGAATTTACCAGCTGCCTCAGCAATAGCAGCGTTTAGATCACGTGTCGGATCTATTTGTGGGTTCGCGGTGAAGAATGGTTGGTTAATAAGTGGTCGGGTTTGAGGGTTTTGGTGCACATTTGTTGCTGTACCACCCACACCGGTTGAGGTTTGACTTGAATTGTGTTGCACTGCTGCAGCCGATATTATTGCACTAAGAGCAGCGGCGTTTGCGGCTGTGGTGTTTGGCGACGACTGCTGCTGATGGTGATGGATATTAGAAGAGGGCGGTGAGGTCAGCAATGGATTGTGGAATCCCTTCAGGTCCAGAATAGACCCGTGATACGAGGATGATTTCGAGATACCCTGCTGGTTGAAAAGAGAAGCTGCCGGTGATCCCGACAGAGCGTGTGGCTGTGGCGGCTGCGGTGGTCTTTGTTGTTGGTGTTGACGTTGCGCCTCCGAGTTGGCATCGAGAACCTGAGGCGAGACACTTCCGCAGGATGAGTTCTGAAAAAATAATGAATCTTTCAATGACTAAATGAAACATTTAGCAAAAATAACAAAAAATTATTCTTTACAATTTTTTCTAAAATAATCATGAACCCTTTAAAACTCTATTTTCACGCGCAAATTATATTTAGAAGTTCTAGTTTCTTTTTTAAGTTTTTAATGGAGTTTGCCCGAGGATCTTCAGTACTGAGCACTGCGTCTTAAAAAAATGACGCTGATTGCTTCAAAGTATTCCAATTAAGTCTAAAAATAGCGATACTGAACAAAGTATTTAACTCAAAGGGCTAATTGCCCGAGCTCATGTTGAAGGAATATTAAAACCTACCACAAAGTATCATCATCCTACACAAAAGTAAACAGGAGAATGAATAATTTTTCAAAACAAAAGACGTCATAATAGAATGCCTTTTTATGACGATACAAGAAAAAAGTTCTTTTAAAGTTCGATCAAACCGTTTTAGCAGAAATGTATGAAATTTGTTTGGTCAGAATTTTTATAGACTGGGGTATGAAATTGTATGATTGGCAGTTTCGGTCTACGGGTATCTAAAGTTCATAACTGCCAACAGACAATTGAAAAACTGTCAATAAACTAATCTAAACTGAAAGAATTATAGCTTTTTGAATATTTTTCACTTTAAGTTTCAAGGATCTTGTATGATTGACATTTTTTCATAAAGCTAACCCAATTAGAGAAAACCTGACCAATAATTTGTTTTTAATTCAGCTGGGAATTCTGAAATGATTTCAATTTTTCTTTCTACAGGGACGAAGCGGAGCTTCGCAACAATTGCGATGCAAAAACACATTGCGCTACAAGATATTGAATGGAAAAAGAAGACCTAGGTACAAAAAAAGTCGGAAAGAAATTACGAAAAAATTACTTGAAAAAATTTGCAAAATTATAGCTACAAAAACTTCACGTTTTAATCGAATGAAACTCATCAACAGTCTTTTAAAAAATGGAAACCATTTACCGAGCGGCAACAAACCTGTTGAGCCGAAAACAAAACTGTTGTCATAAAAACTGTTTTCATTATGTTTTAATTTTTTTTGCGACCCAATTAATCTGAAACACATAATCGCATGCGAATATAATTGCCCGCCATATAAGTTGACTAAATCGATATAACAAAAACTGAAACTGTTTAAATGTTTTTAAAAAACTCAAAATCATACTTGGTAAATTTACAAAATTGTGAACTTTCAATAATACTAGCAATTAACGCACCTTCGGTGCTTCGAAATTTTTCGACAACTCATGAAAAAAACCGCATCTATTGGAAACAACATCTGCAAACTTTTAGTGTACTCTTACTGCACATAATTACAGATTTGGTAATTTCGAACTTTTATTTTTTTAAATTCCCATTTTAAAAGCGTCATCTCGAAAACTTATTGGGCCTCTGGAGAAATTTGGAAGCCAGATTTGCAACCACTGAGACTCCTTGAGAGCAACTATAGGGTTAGGAATCCAAAATTTTGTGAACTTTTTTAAACCTAAGATTCCCGAAAAAAAAAAAATTGACAAAAAAACGTCTTATCTCGGAAACTAAAAGGATTTGAGCATTCATATTAAGAGGGATTTGAGACGCCTGGATGTACGCTGACAAAAAGGTTGTATCTTCATCAAGTTAGTAGTTTCAAATTTTTTGAATTTCTTTGTAGATAAGTTCTCTGAGAAATTTAAAAAAAAATCGAAAAACGTCACATCTCGGAAACTAAAAGCATTTGAGCAGTCGCGTTTAGCAGTCGCATGTGGCAAGATTTGCAACTCTTTAGAGTACCCTGACAACACCGAACTATAGAATTGGGAATTTCAAATTTTGAAAACTAATTAATTTAAACTTTCTGAAAATTTTGGAAAAATCACAAAAAACGTCACATCTCGAAAACTACAAAGAATTTAGCAGTGATATTTTGAGGCAAGATTCGCAATCCTTGAGAGTACTTTGACAGGAACTAACTACAGGGTAGGGAATTTCAGATTTTTAAAGAATAGAAATAATTCAAGTTTTCTGAAAAATTTTGAAAAAATCACAAAAAACGTCATATCTCAAAAACTACAAGGATTTGAACAGTCATATTTGGAGACAAGATTTGTAACTCCTTAGAGTACTCCGACAGGACCTAACTACAGGGTTGGGAATTTCAGATTTTTAAAGAATAGAAATAATTTAAGTTTTCAGAAAAATTTTGAAAAAATCACAAAAAACGTCATATCTCGAAAACTACAAAGAATTGAGCAGTGATATTTGGAGGCAAGATTCGCAAACCTTGAGATTACTCTGACAGGACCCATCTACAGGGTTGGGAATTTCAGATTTTGCGAAAAAAAATTAACATAAGTTTTCTGAAAATTTTTTGAACAAATCACAAAAAACGTCATATCTCGAAAACTACAAGGATTTGAACAGTCATATTTGGAGGCAAGATTCGCAATCCTTATCGAATTAGGGGTTAAGAATTTGGCCTCCAATTTTGAATGCCCGGTAAAATAACCACTAAAATCAAATTGGAAAATCGAAAAAACTCTTAACCATTGCAATACACGATATAGCTTAAACATGCAAAAATAATACGTTGAAAAAGCTTAAACATGGCGAGATAGTGAAGCCCGCATTTAAATAAATAATAGATTAAAAACTGTTTGAATTGGAAAAATCCATGCTTTTAAAAGTAAGCTAACAAAACACAAACAGATTTTACAAATGGCTTTTAAAAAAAAACGGAAAATGAACCAACAGAAAGCTGAACGAAAACCACGACCCCGAAAAAGAATCGAGACATTTTTTGAAAAGATAATTACAACCTGAAACGGGCTTTAACTAATTACTACTTAAATGATAATAGCTTCATTTGAATTTTCAAGAAATTGAGCATGTCAGAAGATGAATGAGTCCTGTGAACAAAGTTATTTGTGGGAAGAAAAGTCTAGTGCCCGATTGCAATACCCTTGCTTATCGCAAGGGTAAAAAAGTCATTAGTTCTTTTTTCGCAGAATTTGCGCTTGTCATTATAGAGCGTTAATTTCCTTCTTTTTACAAATGACTGTGAATTGAACTTGAAAAATAAATAGCGAAAAAGTCAAACAGCGAAAAAATCAAATTTCGTTAAAAAAAGGCCCAACTAAATAGTGAAAAAGTCAAACAGCGAAAAAAATCAAATTTCGTTAAAAAAGCCCATATAAAAGCCTTCACTTCGTTCATTGACTCATAATAAACAGGCGCAAAGAGACAAGACTAACTTCATCCGACAGTCGTATCCGGAGTGGACTGTGAAAATTGGAGCCCCCTCCTCCTCCACTACCACTGCCACTTCCATCGCCTCCTCCACTTCTAAAGTTGGTCGTCAAGGTGTTCTGAGTAGCCGGCAGTTTAGCCGCAACAGGACTTCCGTGGCCGAAATCTGAAACTAAACACATCTCTAAAACAATCTGCTTGGTCAACCAAAGTAATTAACTTATGAACTGTAGAAGCATTGAATAACATATTTTTATTTAGTCCGAAACGAAAAAGAATAACACTAATAAAAGCCGAAAAACTTCATTTAGAAAAAACCAAAAGCCTTCCAAGAATATGACTAGCTTGAGCCGCTTCAAACTAAGTTTAATGCTAACCTTGCAGTTGATTAGCAGTGTTGTGAAGAGGAAAAAGAGGCATTGTTTTGGATTTGTGTGAGGGCGGCGCCGGCAGCAGATAGTCCACAGAAGACCGCTTGGTGGCAGAATGAAGCAGCGGACCTCCTCTGAAAAAGGCTCCTGCTCCAATTCCCCCTCCCAAGTTGCCTCCTCCACCCGCTCCTGAGTGGTAGTTCTGAATTGAGTCGTGTGGGTTGCTTTTACATGATGCTATTACTCTATGCGATGGGATATTATGGGCTAGTCCACGAGGGTACATGCCGATCTGACGAGATATGAGACTGTTTCCGGTTAGGGCGGCTCCGTGGTCCATCATTTGGTCGTGATGTTCTAGCAGCACTTCGTCGTGCGGAGGGTGCAGTTTTAATTTATTCCGAACCATTTTCAAATTGGGCTCCGAGTCTGAAAAGGTAAAAAATTCTTGAAAAGGTAAAAAACTTTTGGGTTTTCAAGAAAAAAATAGCACCTCGAAAAACTTTTGAATTTCAAGTATCTTTTATACTTGAAACTTTTTTTGGATAATTTTTTATTCAGCAGGGAACTCTGAAAGTCAATTTTTGAAACTAAAAGTCATTCACGTTCTTTTGCGCCATTTGAACTTTTGTTATTCAAGAGAGGAGTTTTCTTAATTGGCAAATGAATTTATAAAGAACTCAAAGTCAAACTACAGAAAAACTACGGCGATAAACTTTCAGACGAAAGCGAAACGGAGCTTCACCGTACAGTGCTGATTTAAATTAACCGGTTAAAATATACAAAGCTCGAACTTTCAAACGCATTTTTTCTCAAATTGGGTTAAGCTTAGACAAAAAATGAAGAAAACAAAAGTTGCTTAAAATTTCAACAAAGTAGTTTCAGCGTAATTTTTGATAAATTAGAAAAAGCCCAAATGACCCATTTTTGGGGTAAAATTTTGGTTGAGAATGTCAGAAAAAATTACAGCATATTAATTCTGATGAAATTCTAAGCAACTTTTGTCTTCTTCACATTTTGTCTTATCTTAACTCAAATTGAGAAAAATGCGTTTGAAAAGTCAAGTTTTGTTCGCTTTGTCCGGATAATTTAAATCAGCACTGTACAGTGCTGATTTAAATTAACCGGACAAAACGAATAAAATTTGAAATTTCAAACGCGTTTTTCTCAAATTGGTTGAAAATAAAACAAAAATTGAAGAGAACAAAAAATGCTTAGATTTTCACCAGAATTAACATAGGCGCTACGCGCAATACACCGAAGGCATAGAAACTGAAGCAAAAACCAAACAACTTGAACAACTAATAATTGAAGAATAACAGTTCTAGAACAAAAAATCGTACTAATACATGTATACACCAAAATTTTGCTATATCGAGAAAGAGCCTGAAATAACAGTTCTAGAACTAAAAATCGTACTAACACATGTATAGGTTAAATTTTTGATATATCAACGAAGATCATAAAATAACATTTCTAGAACTAAAAATCGTACTAACACATGTATACACCAAAATTTTACTATATTGACAAAGAGCCTGAAATAACAGTTCGTGAGCTAAAAATCGTACGAACACATGTATACACCAAAATTTTGCTATATTGGCAAAGATCATGAAATAACAGTTCGAGAGCTAAAAATCGTACTAACACATGTATACGTCAAATTTTTGCTATATTGACAAAGATCATGGAATAACAGTTCGAGAACTAAAAATGGTACTAACACATGTATACAATAAAATTTTGATATATTGACAAAGATCATGAAATAACAGTTCGAGAACTAAAAATCGTAATAACACATGTATACACTAAAATTTTGATATATTGACATAGATCATAAAATAACAGTTCGAGAACTAAAAATGGTACTAACACATGTATACGCTAAAATATTGCTATATTGACGAAGAGCCTGAAATAACAATTCTAGAGCTAAAATCGTACTAACACATGTATACACCAATATTTTGCTATATCGACAAAGAGCCTGAATAAACGTTGTAGAACTAAAAATCTTACTAACAAATATATACACCAAAATTTTGCTATATTGACAAAGAGCCTGAAATATTGACAAAGGACCTGAAATAACAATCGTAGAACTAAATGTCGTACTTACGCATTGTAGATCAATTTCTATAGCTATAATAAAATACAAAAGATTGTGTTTGTATGTGTAGCAAAACGCCTCCTGTTTTACACCTAATACAAGTATACACAGACCAGTTAATTGAAACTACAGTGTATCTATTACAAGTATACACAGATCAGTTAAACTAAAGAAACTGTGTACCTAATACAAGTATACACGATCAGTTGATTGAAACTACAGTGTACCTAATACAAGTATACACAGCAGTTGAAATAGAAAAACTGTGTACCTAATACAAGTATACACAGACCAGTTGATTGAAACTACAGTGTACCTAATACAAGTATACACAGCAGTTGAAAAAAAACTGTGTACCTAATACAAGTATACACAGACCAGTTGATTGAAACTACAGTGTACCTAATACAAGTATACACAGCAGTTGAAATAGAAAAACTGTGTACCTAATACAAGTATACACAGATCAGTTGATTGAAACTACAGTGTACCTAATACAAGTATACACAGCAGTTGAAAAAAACTGTGTACCTAATACAAGTATACACAGACCAGTTGATTGAAACTACAGTGTACCTAATACAAGTATACACAAAAGTTGAAATAGAATAACTGTGTACCTAATACAAGTATACACAGATCAGTTGATTGAAACTACAGTGTACCTAATACAAGTAACGCAAAGGTACTCATGAGCGGTTTTTATGACAGTAAAGTAATGACCGTATTCAAAAGACCCCGTGTGAATAACAGCAGCCTTTACTCCGTAATCACATCCACCAATTTCGATTGTTTCACCAATTGTGACTTCTGCTCTAGAGTAAACGCGATTGCCAGCGACAAACATGTAACGCGCAATCAGCAAAATAACAGTATTTGCAATATGGGTTGGTTCTTTAGTTGTTATTGCCCTTTCTGAGATACACGTGGAATTTGACATGTTACATTAACGGCTTGGTTGGCGAAGTGATTGACCACAAGCTCCTGCAGAAGTTGACCATTGCGTGGAGGACTTAAAACTAACGCAGAAGTAGTAATACCGGACAGATATAACTATAGATAAATCTTTAAAATAAATAATTTAAAATCATTTTTGATGTAGCTGCAACCCAAAAGCAAGTGGACAAATCTCGTTGGCAGCGTTCCCTGTAAATCGTTGTACGCTAATTGGTGATATACAGATCTTTCTGAAAATATCCTAAACAGAACAATAAATTGAAAATCATTTTTTGCTTTTAACTACATAGCTAAGAAGTAAAACATCAAATTTCACAATCAAACAACAAAGACGCTAACTAAATAAATAAATAAATGAACGAACAAACCAACAAATGAACGAACAAACCAAAAATAAATAAACATAAATAAATAAACGAATAAATAAATACATACATGAATAATAAATAAAAGCAAAACTAAATGAAAGAAAATAATTAAATAAATATAGCAATAAATATCAACGAATAAACAAAACACACCTGATAAATAAATAAACAATAAAAAAATAAATCAATACATAAATAAATAAATACATACATAAATAAATAAATAAATAAATAAACGCAAAACTGAAATGTACAAATAATTAAATTAACATGAAAAAATATATATCTCATGAACAAATAACCAAACAAACAGACCCATAATATAAATAAATGAAAGTAAATGAATTAAATAAATACACATACATAAATATTAAAAGCAAAACTAAATGAAAGAAAGAATAATTAAATAAATATAGAAATAAATATCAACAAATAAACAAAACACACCTGATAAATAAATAAGCAATAAAAAAATAAATCAATACATAAATAAATAAATAAATACATAAATGAATACATAAATAAATAAATATATAAATAAATAAAAGCAAAAGTGAAATGTACAAATAATTAAATAGACATGAAAAAATATAAATGAACAAATAACCAAACAAACAGACCCATAATATGAATAAATGAAAATAAATAAATGAAATAAATACACATACATAAATAATTAAAGCAAAACTAAATGAAAGAAAGAATAATTAAATAAATATAGAAATAAATATCAACAAATAAACAAAACACACCTGATAAATAAATAAGCAATAAAAAAATAAATCAATACATAAATAAATAAATAAATACATAAATAAATACATAAATAAATAAATAAATAAATAAATAAAAGCAAAAGTGAAATGTACAAATAATTAAATAGACATGAAAAAATATATATGAACAAATAACCAAACAAACAGACCCATAATATAAATAAATGAAAATAAATAAATTAAATAAATACACACGCAGAAATAATAAAAGCAAAACTAAATGAAAGAAAGAATAATTAAATAAATAAACAAAACACGTGATAAAAATAAACAAAAATAAATATGTACATACATAAATTATAAATAAATATAAGCAAACTAAACATAATTAAACAAATAGAAGAACAGATAATTAAATAAATAAAGATGAACAAATAAAGAAACAAACATACGCAATCACGTGACATAGCGCGATATAGTCCAGCCCACATGATAATTGATAACCGTGCACGTTATTTGTCGACACTTGACAACAGACAACATTAAAAAAAAACCCGTTTCACGATACCATAACACCTTGACTAAAGTCTTCGGTATAAATATAGTGCAATTTTTTCTCCAAAATTCTCAACCAAAATTTTACCCCAAAAATAGGTCATTTTGGCTTTTTTCAATTTATCAAAAATTACGCTGAAATTACTTAATTGATTGATGAGAAACATATATCACAAGAAGCCTCTTACACAGTCTAACAAAGATCTAGAAAGGTTAAATCACTAAAAACCTGTATAAGAGAAAATATTTTTGCATGATAGACAAAAAATGTGATTTTACAATACAAAACCCAAAATCTTTTCTTAAAAACAAATTGGAAACAAATTACTCAAATTTTTGGGCATTTAACCTTTCTAAATTTTTTGTTGGGCTGTGTAAGAGGCTTCTTGTGATATATGTTTCTCATCAATTAACAAAGTAGTTTCAGCGTAATTTTTGATAAATTAGAAAAAGCCTAAATGACCCCATTTTGAGGTAAAATTTTGGTTGCGAATTTCGGAGAAAAAATTACAGCATATTAATTCTGAGATGAAATTCTAAGCAACTTTTGTTCTCTTCATTTTTTGTCTAATCTTAACCCAAATTGAGAAAAACGTGTTCGAAAAATCAAGTTTCGTTCGTTTTTTCCGGATAATTTAAATCAGCACTGTAGTTGCGATATAAAAAGGTGCAAACAATTGTCAAAAACCTTATTCATATTGAATTCGAAAAGTTCGAAACTTATAAAAACCATACCGAATGACCTATTTGATTTCACCAGATAAGATCAATCAATAGATAGCAAATGTATCGAAGCTAGCCAACATGACACCAGCCGAAAACTGGAAAGCATAATTCTGAACATCGGCTATAGAGCTCTGAAAAACCTTACAGTGCTCTAAGTGGGATGGTTAAAAAATTCGACCAATAGATAATAAAAGTTCACCTGAGCCAAAAATGGTTCTTTTAACAACCAAATTAAGCGCAGCGATTCAGATGCAAAAACAATGAAAGCCAGAACCATGGATTCACTTTGCCTAAAATCCAAAATGAACCAAACTGCAAAACTATATTTGATGATGCACACCTTAAGAGCATAAAATATTATGTAAGAAAAAAGATTCAGCATGAATGGGAAAAAATTTAATCCGAAATTTAATGCTTAAAAATTTCACAAAAATATTTGCTTAAATATAATTGATAGATTTGAAAATATAAACCGCAAAAAGTTGGGTGTTTCTCTTCAAGAGCTGTAATTAGTTAGATTGCGGTAAATTATCTCAGAAAAGCCAGAATAAAACCCAAAGCGTATATCAACTGCAAGCTAGGTATTTCAATTCCGAACTCTTATTTTTCACAAAAAGTCATTACAGCCTTAAAAAAATATATAGCAGCACAGAAAAAGTTGGGCATTGGAGTAATCCTAACTGCTTACGCCGCAGAGCAATGAAACTGAAGAGAATTGACCAACCGAAAATCTGATTCGGTAACGGAAAACACTGGCCCTGCAAACTAATAATAGCACTCACCAGAGGATTTAGGGGTGGGGGTTGGAATTCGACCACCTGCCGACCCAAAGGGTCCCCCTTTGTACGATTTTGAGATATCCATTTTTGGTGACGGACCGTAAAATTTTTCTAAAGGCGCCAATATATATTAACTTTGAAGGGGCAGAGGAGCGCGCGCCGAAAAAAAACGCAATTTTTGGCCTGTTTTTTCAACATTTTTGTCAGCAGCGCAGAAAATTTGTTCAAAATGGGGTTTTTATAGAGATTTAGGAGAGCTCAAAAAATCAATTTGGTCGACCCAAAAAAAAGTCGACAAAATTTTCAAAATTTTTAGAAAATCCGCCCCCCCCCCCCCCCCCCCCCGAGAAAATCCTAGATCCGCCTCTGATAGCACTCACCGAACATAAGAGAAAACTGTATGAATAGATAAATTTTTTATCGGCTGGGATTTCTGAAAATCTGAGAACTAAATTTCACTATCGAAACTAGAAGTCGATCTCGCTTTTCGTGGCCTTTACACTTTTGCTGTTTGATAGCGGAGTTTGCCCTCCTTTCAACAAAAGAAATGAAGTGAACCTAAAACAAAATGAAACATCAAACCGTGAAAAATCAAACTTTTGCATGAACAAACTTTATGACTTTTTCCTGACAACGAAATAAACCAAAAAAATCTCCAGCATCTACATAAGAGCCATCACTAAGTTCATCAACTCTTGATCAACAGAAAAATTTGGGCAACTTTATAAGCAAAATGTAAGAGAGTTATTTGGTTTTAGGAGGCCCCAACACTTTTAAAGCCTTCATGTAATATACACTTTTTTTTAGAAACTCAGCCGACTTAATGTCAACTACAACATCAAAAAATGTAAGTTTTGATCAACTTTATATTGAGGTCTGATAAGTTACATAGAAAAAAAAAATTAAAACTACATAAAAATACTACATATATATATTTAAGTGATATCACGTAAATGATCTGACAGCAAACAATTAAAGCCAACAAACAATAAGTCAAAATTCGTTGAAAGAAAAAAACTTAATGAATTGGAGCAACGCCGAGAGTACGCGACAAAATGCATCATTACATTATGTCAGCCAAAAATGGATATCTCAAACTAGTACAAAGGGGGAATCCTTTTGGTCGGCAGGGGTCAAATCCACCCCCCCCCCCCTAAATCCACTGGTGATTACATACACCACCTACATAGCAACCACGAACGCACAATTACAATTTCTAATTTTAATAATTTCAGATGAAAAAATAAATAACCCAGAAAGCCACAAATGTCTTATGATTTCTTAAACTCCATCCAGTTGATCGGCACGACTAAAGTTTACATACAATAAAACAGATGGCTTAAGTAACTGCACTATTTACTTCAAATGATTATGTATCTGCTGTTGTATAACCAAAAATTTCAGACCCAGTCAAATTTACATTGAAACTAAAATGTATAATCAAATTTTACATTGCACATCTGATTGAAAAATTAGTCTAATAAAAACCGACTGACTTTTTTTCATTTTTTCAACTTACATGTTTTGCGCAGCGGTTCTTTGTACTGCTCCGGTTTTACTGTGACATTTGGGTGTGTGGCAGTGGCGCCGTAGCTGTTGCTTCTGAAAAAATAACAAAAATTAAATAACTTCTACGGCGACGTCAATTGAAAAAAATATATCGATAAATTTTTAAAACTCCTTCTTACGACCCCATTTGAAGCCAAAAAAAATTCTGATTTAAATCAAGCACGCAAAAACGTTTTTCAAGCAATTTACTTCCCTCTGAATTTTCTTCTGTTCTTGTTACTGAAACAAACTTGAAAAATCTGTCAGAAAAATTAATATCCAGTTGTTTGAAATTATTATTTATCGTATATGACAACTCGCAACAAAAACAAGTGGTCTTCTATTGCAACTTTTTGCGGAACAGTTAATTATTGGCACAATAACCCAACCGAGAACGCTTCAATTACCGTTACAGTTCCCATTGGTAAATTGAATTGAGCGTGGCTGAATTTTGTTAACTAACTAGTCCCGTATGATTCCGGACCCATCAATCTTGCTTCCCATTCACAAGATGCAAAGAAATTGCTGCCGAGAAAACACTATTGTGACGGTTGCAATATGCTTTCAAATGACAAGTAAGAATATAAACTGAAACACTGATCCCTGTGGAGGATCACTGAAACTTATGAATAAAAACTCAAACCCATTATTTATATTCTTTTGCCTTCTTCGAAATTCGGCACCAATCACGCTACACAAGCAAATTCGCGAAACGTAAGTCTTGATCGCTTTCACTTAAACTTTGCGACCAGCCGAGTTTATTACCCCACCCCAAATCTCGACCGAAAACTGACCACAGGAGAAATATATGTGAAGTGAAGCTTCATCGAGGACCAAAAAGGCAAGAAACCATTCTGTCCTTGTTGAAAAATGACTTTGTTGAAAAGCGGTTGTTTTTTTAAGAAAAAAAAAGTTCATCCCCTTATCCCCCGTTTTAACCTTAGCAATAAAACACAATGATAGCATTCTGCTAATGCTACAAGAGGTCAATCTAATGGTCTTTTCGCACAACATGTACACGAGAGCTTCAACAAAAACTGAAAAAGAAGAATCATCTCGAGCCTGTTAATATTCAGAAGAAAAAAAATTGACGAATTTAAAACCAGAACTGTAAAAAATACTCAAAAAGCGCCTATTTTTAAACCCATAACTGAACCACCCAAAATGGAAAGGTCGATTAAGATCGATTGAAAATTTCGAGTCTTGATAATAGTTCATTCTAAGAAAACAAAGTTACGAAGCCAAACAAAGCCAATAATTTTTGAGGACAACAGCTGAGCCGAAAAAAAAAATTATTGCAACTATAAAAAAAATTGCTTACAACGCAAAAAAAATCCGTGATGTGGCAACTAAGCTGATACAATTTGAGCAGAAAAACGTAAATCCGGCAATTCTTACCGGAAAAAAATTCAATAATACTGAAAGAAAAAAAAAACCCGGCCGTGACTCAAACTCAAAAACATAGGGTGCAAAAGCGACCACGTTAACTCTTCAGCAAGTGCGAACGAACCTGGCAATTACTAATAATAAAGCGAGTAAGAAAAGGAACTAAGATTTTTAAAAGTCGTTTACGAGAAAAACCTAGTTCCCGATTACAAGAACACTTGCTTTCGCGATTACAAGAAATATAAAAAGAAACGTCAGCTAATTTTAGGTAACTAAGGCGACAAAATTGAGGCCGAAACCAGACACTTTTTCAATAATAAAACACAGAGGTGAAGCTGCGCTTCGCAAGCAATAGCGAGAACATGACAAAAAAGCAGCTTTAAAATGAAATAAAAAAATATAAATAAGCCCCGAATTAGTAAAGTTTTGCTAAGTATTGGCTTCGAAGCTTAGACCTCAAGATTTGAAGTCTCACGCCCTGCCCTCTCGGCCACGAACGCTTAGCAATCAGCAAGCACTAGTCACAAATAAAGCAGTTACATATGCTAATAAATTGCCAATGCGATGCATCAAAAGTGGCACCAAATACAAACAGACACAATTTTGAAAGGAAAACATTAAAATATAACAAACTGAAGGTATCCACTTTAATTTTGCATGTAAAAGATAGCCAATCGATATTTGAAAAGGATAGTGAACGCAAGTAAACATAAAATAAACTGATTTTCTTGAAAAAATCTCAACTTTCGAATTTCAAAGAAAAAAATAGATGCCCGTTAAGCTCTTTAAATTTCTAGAACGATTGGCGCTTTTTTGTTAATATGAACCCAAACTCAGAAAACTGGATCAATAGGTAAAGTTGTCACTCCGCTGGGAAATTTTGGAAATAAATTCCAATTTCGAAACTAGAAATCGTAGACGTTTTTTCACGCCTAAAGCCACATTATGTATAAATTATGCATTTTAAAAAACTTCGAGATATATTGAATTAGAAAATTTTTTAAAATCGAGTTTTTATTATTGTTTGAAACATATAGCTTTTTTCGGTTCATTTGATTATTTAAAGGAACACATATTTTAACTTATTAATATTCGATTGTCAAAGCACATGCTATCAAAAAGACACAAAAGTGCCACTTAGGTTAATTGCGACTTAGGTTAGAAAGAAAACTCCGATGCTCTTACACTAAAACTCACTAAAATTGGCTCAAGTAAAATCCTATTAAGCTCCTATAAACACGACATAAGCACACCATTCAAATAAATAAAACTTATCAGAGCTAAGAGGAAGTAGAAAAAAATTACCAGCAAAATGGACTTAATGAACAGACTGGTCGTTTTAAAATTATAACGACTTGTAAAATAGATCAATTATTGATACCGCATCGAACTGGATGATGAAAAAACATTATAACAGTAATTAACCCGACAATAGCTGAAACGAAGACCCATTATGCAAAAAAAAACTAAATACATGCGTAAAGCAAAAACGCGATACGGCCAGACCTCCAAGCCGGACCTTCAGAGGGCGAAGCAAGTGTTATAACACTACACTATCTGAACCTTGCGCTCATGTTATCAGAATTTCCTAATAAACGACAACCAATTTCTTAGTTTGTGAAAGGTTGTTTAGTGAAAAAGGCCTAGTTCACAATTACAGGTACACTTGCCCTCGCAAGTGAAATGATAAATTCGCAAAAAAGCAAACCCATACAATCTAAATGTGTAAAGTCAGTTCGTTCGTAAACACTTCAAATCATTCATTAATACTCAAAACCTCTTTTGATGAGCTTTTCGCACTAACAAAGTGAGTAGTCTCTTAGAAGAGTAGCTGTTCTCCAGCATGGCCGGGTCAAGCGAGTCCATTTGAAGGTGACCTCCTGAGTTATTTGAAGTTCCACAGGATGAATTGGGTAGCCTCATTGACATATTTGAGGGGGGCTGCAGCAGGGATGAGTTGGGGGGAGAGAGGAAAGTGGAGGCGGCGGGGGACTTTGAGGATGGGTTCGAATTTGGAGGATAGGCGCCCCCTCCGCTGGGTTTAGAGTGCTGACCACTGATTGCGTAGGCCGCGTTGGCCGAAAAGCGCTTGCTCAGAATGTGTCTCTGCAATGTGCTCTTTACTTCACTCGACGCGTTTGCACCTGAATCAGAAAATCAAAAACATAGCCAACTGACAGTTGGAAAAGAGTAATGAACACAGCGAACTGAAACAAAAACTGACTTTTTTCAAAATTCGAAAAAAATAGATGGCAATAAAGCTCTTTGAATTTGTATAACAATTTATGACGGAGACTTTTTTGTTACATTTAACCCAATTTGAGAAAACTGGATCAACAGATAGAATTTCATTTCGCTGAGAAATCTGATAATTAATTTCTATTTTCGAAACTAGAAGTCGATCACGTTTTTTGTGACCTTTAAATTTCTGCTATTTGATAGTGGAGTTTGTGTTCCTGTCAAGAAAAGATATGAGAAAATGAAAAAAACCAAAAATGGAACCGCGGCGAAAAAGTGAAGTTGAGAATGAACAAATTTTAAAACTTTTCCTGAAAAACAAAAAAGAGAAAACAATTATCGCTACGTAAATCTTTGCAACTAATCGGATTCGAAACTGCAACCTTGAGATTATGAACCGCACGCCCTGCCCTTTCGGTCACGAACGCTTATCAATCGGCAAACACTAGTCAGAAATAAAGCCGCTATATATGCTGCTTAACTTCCAATGCGATGCAGCAAAAATGGCAGCAAAAACGAATAGACACAGCTTTGCTTGTAATTATTTGGAATATAACAAACTGAAGGCATCGATATTAACTTTGCATTCAAAAATTGGAAAGCAACAAGCCACATTATGTATAAAATATTCATTTCAAAAAAAATTGCGAGATATAATAATATAAAAAATTCTGAAACCGAGTTTTTATCATTTTTGTTTGAAATAAATCCTTTTTTTTCCGGTTCATTTGATAATTTGAAAATGCATCAACTGTGTTAACTTATTTCTAGTCAAATGTCAAAGTACATTTTTTTTTTCAGGATAAAGTCTTAAAATGCTCAAATAACTACAGATGTGCATTCATACATATTATTGCATTTATGAATGCACTTAGGTATTTATGCATTTTCTGAGCTCAATTGAAATTCATCTGCTGAAAGTTACGTAAATAACACTCTCCAAATACGAATGTGGAAATGGCGCAAAAAACGTGAAGAATTTCTTGTTTTGAAAGTGGAATTTGATTTTTAGATTTCCAGCGGAATAAAAACTTTACTTATTGATCCAGTTTTCTCAAGTTGGGTTAATGCTATCAAAAAAAGCCAATCATGATTTGTTCTAGAAATTCAAAGAGCTGAAAGGGCATCTATTTTGTTTTTTGAAATTCGAAGTTGAGACTTTTTCAACAAAGTCAATGTTTTTTTTGTTTACTTGTGTTAATTACTCTTTTCCAACTGTCCTGACTTTATCCTGACTTTTTTCAAATTTCGAAAAAAAAATAGATGGCAATAAAGCTCTTTGAATTTGTATAACAATTTATGACGGAGACTTTTTTGTTACATTTAACCCAATTTGAGAAAACTGGATCAACAGATAGAATTTCATTTCGCTGAGAAATCTGATAATTAATTTCTATTTTCGAAACTAGAAGTCGATCACGTTTTTTGTGACCTTTAAATTTCTGCTATTTGATAGTGGAGTTTGTGTTCCTGTCAAGAAAAGATATGAGAAAATGAAAAAAACCAAAAATGGAACCGCGGCGAAAAAGTGAAGTTGAGAATGAACAAATTTTAAAACTTTTCCTGAAAAACAAAAAAGAGAAAACAATTATCGCTACGTAAATCTTTGCAACTAATCGGATTCGAAACTGCAACCTTGAGATTATGAACCGCACGCCCTGCCCTTTCGGTCACGAACGCTTATCAATCGGCAAACACTAGTCAGAAATAAAGCCGCTATATATGCTGCTTAACTTCCAATGCGATGCAGCAAAAATGGCAGCAAAAACGAATAGACACAGCTTTGCTTGTAATTATTTGGAATATAACAAACTGAAGGCATCGATATTAACTTTGCATTCAAAAATTGGAAAGCAACAAGCCACATTATGTATAAAATATTCATTTCAAAAAAAATTGCGAGATATAATAATATAAAAAATTCTGAAACCGAGTTTTTATCATTTTTGTTTGAAATAAATCCTTTTTTTTCCGGTTCATTTGATAATTTGAAAATGCATCAACTGTGTTAACTTATTTCTAGTCAAATGTCAAAGTACATTTTTTTTTTCAGGATAAAGTCTTAAAATGCTCAAATAACTACAGATGTGCATTCATACATATTATTGCATTTATGAATGCACTTAGGTATTTATGCATTTTCTGAGCTCAATTGAAATTCATCTGCTGAAAGTTACGTAAATAACACTCTCCAAATACGAATGTGGAAATGGCGCAAAAAACGTGAAGAATTTCTTGTTTTGAAAGTGGAATTTGATTTTTAGATTTCCAGCGGAATAAAAACTTTACTTATTGATCCAGTTTTCTCAAGTTGGGTTAATGCTATCAAAAAAAGCCAATCATGATTTGTTCTAGAAATTCAAAGAGCTGAAAGGGCATCTATTTTGTTTTTTGAAATTCGAAGTTGAGACTTTTTCAACAAAGTCAATGTTTTTTTTGTTTACTTGTGTTAATTACTCTTTTCCAACTGTCCTGACTTTATCCTGACTTTTTTCAAATTTCGAAAAAAAAATAGATGGCAATAAAGCTCTTTGAATTTGTATAACAATTTATGACGGAGACTTTTTTGTTACATTTAACCCAATTTGAGAAAACTGGATCAACAGATAGAATTTCATTTCGCTGAGAAATCTGATAATTAATTTCTATTTTCGAAACTAGAAGTCGATCGATAAATTATAGGCCGAAACCTATTAAGCCGAAAAAAAAGAAAAGAAAAAACCAAAAAGAAATTCCAAACATTTAAGACCAGTAAAAATCATTAAGTCCCCCTCACCCTCTAAGCACACACACACACACAAAAACTTTTTCGCTCGTCGAACGGCGTAAAATACGTCCACTATTCAAATGAAATATAGGCCGAAACCAATTAAGCCGAAAAACAATTCAAAAAATTCAAGTTTAATAAAAAGCTATCAAGTCTCTCTCAACCAAAAACACACACACACACAAACATAGCCAATCAAAGATTGGAAAAGAGTAATGAAAGCAGGTAAACATAAAAACACTGACTTTCTTGAAAAAATCCTAACTTTCGAATTTCAAAGAAAAAAATTGATACCCTTCAAGATCTTTGAAATTCTAAAACTATTTTATATTGGCGCTTTTTCGATAAAATTAACCCAGCTTGAAAAAACTGGATCAACAGCTTAAATTTGTATTCCGCTGGAAATCTAAAATTTAAATTCTTCTTTCGAAACTAGAAATCGTTCACGTTTTTTGCGCCATTTCCACATTCGTATTTGGAGTGTGTTATTTACGTAACTTTCAGCAGATGAATTTCAATTGAGCTCAGAAAATGCATAAATACCTAAGTGCATTCATAAATGCAATAATATGTATGAATGCACATCTGTAGTTATTTGAGCATTTTAAGACTTTATCCTGAAAAAAAAAATCATATATAAAAAAATCACCTATATAAAAGTCTTCACTACATTCATTACTCTCAACAAGATAAGCAATTGATTGGAAAAATAATAACAAAACAAACCAAATTTTGGCGCTAAATAAAGCTAGGAAAACTTTTTCCAGCAGTAAAATTTTGAGGCTTACTTTTTAGCTTTTTATTGAGGCTTAAACAGAGGCGAAGCTGCTCTTTGCAAACACTTGCAAGAAAACACGATAAAAAGCAGCTCTACAGTTCTAAAAAGCAGCTCCTAAGTTCTAAAATTCGGCGACGTCTCGGGCTCAAACCTACTGCGACCTAGAAATTATGAATCTCACGCACTAACCACTCAGCCACGGACGCTTAGTCCATCACAAACACTAGCCACAGTTCCAAATTTCCAATGCTACAGATCGTGATTATAGCAAAAAGGCACACAAATGAACACATTTACGAGTTAGGTTACAAAAAAAAAAGGTTCATACTAAAACACTAGCTGCTCGCTAGCGTAATAAACGACTTTCAGCTACAAAATCTTACTCGCTCGCTTTACTTGCTCAAATCAGACTAAAAAGCAAAAATTCCAAACCTGTTTTTCTCGACACAGTAAACTTTCTGAAAATTTTTAAAGGTCGTTCCAGTCGCGACTTCAAGTGTTTCATGATGATACATCACTTGACTCTTTAGAAGAAGGGTCACTTTGTGGTAGCTGATTTTGCGTGATATACCTGATTTAGCGTAAGAAGTTTTAAACATCCGAAGACAAAGTTGCTTCCCACTTTCAGTGGTCGGACCAATAACACAGAAGTCTCGCATTTGAGCCCAAGCAAAAAAGAAAAATAATTCAAACTCTAAAATTTCGTTTACAAAACTCGTTTTTCAGTATGAAAAAACGGAATTATGTCGTTCTCCGAATTAGTCATTAGTATTTGAAATGCCACGATGTATCCATCAGGTAACACTAACTGTCTTTAATAAAAATTAGTTGCACACAATATATCTAAAAATGATCTACGAACGCGGTATTCAATATAGCGTCTTTCTTTCGTTGACCTATCGAAACAGAGCTGTTGGCACGATGAACCTGTGAGGCGAAAACGCGTAAAAAGTGACAGTTTGCAACAGCAGATCAAGTCGCAAATTACACCTATGCAAAATATACCTCTTGTGTCGGATGTAAGCTCAGCTGAACGAAGCAGAAAAATCGTTTGCTACGAATTGCCACCTATTACTAGTAGCTGTTTGTTACAAATCGCCGCCCAGCGCAATAGGCCCTAATCGCTGCCGAGATATCGTGTGAGCATTTGTAGTCAAAAAAATAACATTGATTAGTACTCACTGTATGATTTCTCGACCACAGACGTGGCAGTTGCGTATCCTGCCCCCGTGCAGCTCTTCCCAGAGGGCCCACTTGCCGACCTCAGTAGAGTGTAACCTGTTTGTCCTGCACCCACTGCGCCTGTAGTACACATTATGTACTTACAAACAGTTAAATTTTACTCGATTTTTGGGTATTTCTCAAAATACCCCCAGCAAATTATAGCCCCTCATAATGATAAAATCACAGTGCAGGCGGTTAAAAAAACTTTGATACTTGGCTTGAAGCTATAATGAGAACCAGGGGCGGATCAAGGTTTTTCTCGAGGGGGGGGGGGGGTGGATTTTCAAAAAAATTTCGAAACTTTTGTCGACCTTTTTTTAGGTCGATCAAATTGTTTTCTCAGCTCTCCAAAAGCACCAAAAAGACCTTGTTTTGGTCAAAATTTCTGCGCCGCAGACAAAATTTTGAAAAAAAACAGGCCAAAAAAAGCGTTTTTAGGCACTTTTTGGAAATTTTTTTTTTCAAAAAATCGCGTTTTTTCGGCGCGCGCTCCCCCCTCAAAATTAGTATATATTGGCGCCAAAGACGCTTTTAGAAAAATTAGGGTTCGTCACCAAAAATGGGTATCTCAAAATAGTACAAAGGGGGGACCCTTTGGGTCTGCAGGGGGTTGAATCCCTGAGGGTAAGGGCGTCCCCTCCCCCCCCCCCCCCCTTAAGTCCGCCCCTGATGAGAACAACTTTTGAGTTTACGGAATATATACCGAAGAGACTGTAAAAGCAGAAGGCTTGAAGAAATCTTAAATGTATTTTGGTCAAAATTGCAATGAAGACCGATGTTTATTACGGCAAACGCAAGACGAAAAAGCCATTAGTAGGATCCAAGTCTGCAGGACTACAAACAAAGCCATCAAAGTTTGCTGAGATTAGATCGGATGCCAATTTAATATGATTTTAGCCAAATAGTCAAGCAGCAAAGGCCTTCAAGCTATGCGTTAGTGACAGCTCAATCTCAGAAAGCAACGCAGAGATTCGAGATTTTTACCACTGCGCCACCCTGTCTTAAAAACAGTAGAGTAGGATTACTGCAGGTACAAGTGCGATAGAAGGGTCCCGGTGAAAACCAAGTGTGACAGAGGAGTCTCACATCACACCAACTAGCAAAATTCGCAGGTACATAGAAGAGCGGCCGGTTTTTTATTGGTACAATTTTTTTTTTGAAAATCGGTACAGTCGTTTTTGAGAAAAATTAAAATTTCTGCAAATAGTGCACAAGTTTTCCCAAGCATCGCAAAAAAAACGAAACAAATCCCATACATTTTCAGATTACGTTTTTTTTAAACAGGACCTAGCATTAGCCAGAAATAAAGCCGCAACATATACCATTAAATTTTTTATCCTTAAATGAGCCTAAATATGATAAATTGAAACTCAAATGAGCACTTTTATTTGCTATTTAGGTTCGAAAAAAGTTCTTCGTAATAAGACACTACGTTTCGCTAGTGTAATAATGGAATTTGGTCTTGAGTATCGAAATGGCTTAACTGGGCACTAGTTTTTCAATTTTTGACAAACTGCATCTACAGGATGAATTTTTCAATTCTACAGATTTTCAGTTTTGTTTTTAAGGCAAATTTTGAAGCAAAAAAACTGGACTGTTATGACAATTGACTTTAACAGCGTGAATTAATTCTGTAACAAATTAGGTTTTTTAGGTGATGAAAACTTGTTTCGACCACCTGATTTGATTTTCATTCAGATACTTTTTATGGGCTTTCAAGCGCGATACACAAGCGACTGCTGTTTTTATTTGGCAAGACTTATCAATTTCTGAAAATTGCATACTAGGAGCCTCCGTTGAAGTGAAAGTGAAAAAACTCCACAGAAGATTATGACAAAAAATTAGGCAAATTTGAACAAAATTAATGAAAGTAAGCGCGCTCATTTTGGACGGGGCAAAATGAAAGAAATTTTTAACAACATTGAAGACAACATAGAAAAAACTTAAAAAACTCAATTACCTCCAACATTGGTGCTTTAGAAATGGCATTCAAGAAATAAGAAGAAAGCTGAATCATCAAAAAAGGACCGTGCTACGAAAACTAAACCGTCAAAAACAAACAGACTGACAAAAGTCCGAAAAAATCGAAAACTTCTAAAAACATGTCCCGGCGGGATTCGAACAACAAAAATTTACCGCCTCAAGCAGGTGTGTTACCTCTACGCTAAATGCGCTGGACAGTTGAATGATTTTTGAAATTATAATGAAGCAAGATGATACATCTGCGAAATCTTGTTAACGAGGAAAAAGTATAGTAACTGGTTGCATCACCTTTGCTTATCACAAGGGCAAAAAACTATTCAAGCTAGGAAACTCGCTTATATTTTATTTTATTTTATTGCTTGAGTCGGTGCATAAACTCTTACTATGTTGTTAGCAAGCTCGTGCATGTACAATAATTCCAAGTGTTTCAAGAAATTTTATAGCGCAAACGGTTAGCAAAAGGTTGAAATTTTTTCAAGCGAAGTGATCGCGCAATGAAACTTCGAAATCTTTTGAACTAGAGTCCCAAACTTTAAGTGTTGCTCTGTTAAAATGCGTTAAAAATTTTGTGATTAAGGAACTCTCCATGAGAAAAAATTATTTTTTAACAAATTAAAGGATCTTCCACAACCTGTTGCCTCGATTAAACCCTTGATGTCAGATTGAGTTCATTTCGAGAAGTCAATAAATTTCAAAAAACGGACAAGAAATCAAAACATTTTTTTTCTGACGGCCATAAATTTTTTTTCGTAAGGAAAGTCAAAAAGTTTCAATGAACGGTCAAAAAGCAGATAAAATTGACTTTTACGAGAGCCATGATTTTTCGTGCAGAAAAATTGGGCCGAAACCGCTTATGCAGGTGAGCTCCCTATGCTGCGTCCTTTTGATTGAAATCAAAATCTCAGATTTGGGACGCTAGTTTTTGAAAAATGTAAAATCCAAAAATATGTGTCAAAAATCCCCCAGCACACTTTTCCGAAGGCTCTAGAAAAAGAGTGAAGGTGAAAAAAGACTAGGGAATTATGTTAAGCAGGCACAGAGGGTAGGGTGCCGACTTCCCATTGTTACCACTTTTTTGAAAATAGGCTTAGTTTTTGAGGACAAAATTTTTGAAAAAGTGAATAAAAGAAATTCCGAAGCAGCTCAAAAAAAACAAAAAACTCGATCCCATACAGTTTTATAAGACCTGATTTTATCAAACAGGAACTGATGAAACTTAACTCCGAGACGCGTGTTTAAAAAATGGGTACTCGAATTCTCTGGGCGTTGTAAAACTACCCTAATAGAGATCATAATTTGAAACTTATCCTGCTTTGCCTTACGCTGCCCTGCCTTGCCTAACGGTGCCTTACCGTGCCTTGCTGTATTGCGCTACTCTGCCTTGGCTTGCGCTCGACTGCCTTGCCTTATTCTGTCTTTTTTGCGATGCACTACCTTGCACATCGGCTGCTCTACTCAATCTACTCTGCTCTGCTCATTAACCTGCCCTGCCTTGCCCCTCTCTCCACTGATTTGCTTTACCATTCCTTGGGCTTCGCTGCTTTTCCCTGTCATGACTTGCACTGTTCTGCCTTACCTTGCGATACCCTGCTTTGTTTTGCACTGCGCTGTCATGCTTTGCGCTGCCATACTCTTCTTTACCTTGCCCATCCTTCCGCTGCACAGCACTGCCTGGTCTTGCGTTGCCCTGCCCCTCCTTGCCTCGCGCTTCCCTGCCTTACCCCTCCTTGCCTTGCGCTGCCATGCCTTACGCTGCCCTGCCGCTCCTTGCTTTGCCTTGCACTGCCCCTTGTCTTGCACTGCCCTCCTTGCCTCGCGCTGCCCTGCCTTGCTGTGCGCTGCCCTGTCTGCCCCTCATTGCCTTGCCTCTTCGCTCCTTGCTTTGCACCAGCCTGCCTTACGCTACCTCGACCCTCCTTGCTTTGCGCTGCCCTTATAACTTCAAAACAACCTGTCTAGACATTTGACCAGGATCTTTCCAAGCTTGCTGTATCTTGAAAATTTAAGGTTTTAAATCAAATGGATTTCCAAAACGTTACGAGTGGTGAACTGCTAAACATGGCGCCCACGGCAATTGAAAAGGACCTACAATTAAATATAAGGTTCTTTTCTAACCAAATATAGCAATAAAAATAATCAATAGTGGCCGCTCGATCGTTTTCAAACTTTCTCAAACGTAATTAGCCGTGTTGACCTCTATAATCCGATATCTTTGACCATAATCCGATAACAGGTTACGAGTGATGAACTGTTAAACATAGCGCCCACAGAAATTGAAAACGACCTACAATTAAATAAAAGATTCTAACCAAATATAGCAATAAAAATAATCAAGTGGCCGCTCGATCGTTTTCAAACTTTCTCAAACGTAATTACCCGTATTGACCTCCGTAATCCGATAACATTGATCAAAAAATTTTATACAACGAAGACCTTTATCATACATACATCAAATATATGGAAAAAGCTCATAATTTTTTTCAAAATTGACTGGAAAAAACTTTGTACTTTTTTCTGTGGCTAATTGAACCAATTAGAACAGTATGACGGAAAAAATTCAGGGTGAATCTAGTGCGGGGTGTTCAGGGTGAAAGTCAGCACAGCGAACAATTCAAAGCGGGCGTCGGTGTACACCAGGGCTCTGTTCTTGGTGCACTCATCTTCAGCCTCGTCCTAGAGGTCCCTAATCAATGTAAAGGCGTACCTTGGGAGCAACTCTATGCCTATGGAAAGACTAAGTACTTATGGCAGATACGCTTAATAAATGCATTGCTAGACTCAAGATCTCGAAAACTGGCACAGAGGGTAAAGGTATCCGAGTCAACATGAAAAAAAAAGAACTCCCTGACCTCAAGCACCTGCCTTGTATTGATCTCGTCAAGGACTCTAGGAAGTACCCTTGTGCTGTCGCCTAGGTGTAGAAAGCATCTCTATTGCTTGCTCTCAATGCAAATTGTGGGTTCACAAGAAATATCAGGCCGGCTGGTAGCCAACCCAATAAATATTTGCCACAGACGCACTGGATTGTCGCGGCCTAACGACGGTCGCCTTTCAAATATGATTGATGTGGAGAGCACACTTAATATTGAGCCAACTTTCTGCTACCTGGGTGGCACGCTCAGTGCTGGCGGGGGCTCTGATAGGGCAATCGCTGCCTGATGTTGCTTGGCCTAATTCTTGCCAGATGTTGCTCTACCTGTACTAACTTCGGGGCTGATCTCATTTAGAACACGTGGAAAACTACACTTTTCTTGTGTGCGATCAATAATGCTGCACGGAAGTGAAACTTGGTATTCCAACGTATCAGATCTGCAATGAAACATGACTAAGAAATGATCCGCTTAATCTGCGGTGTTAAGCCCGGTGTTCATGATCCAGGTGTACTTCTTGATAAACTCCGCTTACATGACTTCATCTACGTCCTTCGGAGCAGACACCTCAGATGTTTTGGACATGTTCAAGGCACTCGCTTAGCGTCATGCATCAAAAGGGCCAATGAGATGACCATATCATCTATCAAAAGACGTGGGAGACCAAGAAAGACTTGGTTAGATAGTGTAAAATGATATCAAGGAACGTTGCTTTACCCACATAGAACCGCAAGGCCGTATTTCATGGAATGCTGGAGTTCGACAATGCTTGGTGCTGCCAACCCATCTGAGGGGCCAGAGACAGCACGATAATCAAAAATCGCATATGATGATGATTATGATTATATGGCAAGATGAATTTTAATGGGTCCAAAAAATAGGCCACAATTTTCAACCAAGAAACTTTATTTTTCAGTCATGATCCTGTGTAACACTTAATACATGATCCTTGTCACAATTCTTGCCACTTAACCTATGAGTTTTATTGTAAACGAGATCTAAGCACTTGTAACGCTTAAAACTAAGCAAAATCAGAATTTTCATTTATAGAAAAATGCTTGTCAAACAATTTTCACATATATAAAAAAAAATGCTTATCGTAGAGTTTGCAAACAATTTTCTGTACTTATAAATTTCTACAACATTTTATGACAAGGATTATTCCGTTTATGAAAACTGTATGACAAGCATTCTTGGTCAACCCGGGTAGCTGCCTCAGTTCATGCTTTAATTCTGGCATCATCGAGGTAAAAATTGAACAATTTTGAAGCACTGTATTTACATTAGAGACCCTGGTAGTTTCTTGGAACCCTTCGATCGCTCTTGTACCTCAATACATTGTAATATATGCCTATCTCTAACCTGAAGTGGAGATGTGACTAAACAGCTTGCCACATGAAGATGGCTGGGACACTATTGTCGTGTGTTGTTGTTGTGCTCCGAGAGATAGTGTGTGTTGGCTAAGGGGGTGGAGTTGGTTTTGAGCTAGGGTCAAGGGCGTCCTTGTCTGCTGGCTATTTGAGATTGAGTTGTTGTTGTGGGAGGAGTATATTATTGCACTGTTAACTGTTGTTGAGACCACATCGGCGCTGCTGCTTTTCAAAATGTCGCTGCTCATCATCCTTCCATTTGAACTGTTGAAAGATGTTATTGCAGTATTGGCTCCTAGTAGCTCGCTGCCGTTGCTTACAAACGCCAGGCTGTGATTATCTAATTGCAGCTGTCGTTGATGAAGAAAATTCACACTGTACACATCGTTATTACGTAATGATGACGAAAGACTACTGCTATTACTAGTGATCGACGCAATGACTTGAATGTCGTCCGAATCGTCCTCATCCATATTTTCCACGTCATGGATCGCAGGTCCAAAAGTGCCATGATCTGCCATGATTTCCACTTCATCTTGATTCGAATCAGCACCTGAAATTTCCATACCAACAGTCCCTCGGTTCTCGCTGATGGAATCCATAGTGAGAAAAAATAAATAGACAATTTAGCGACAGTCAATGCTGAGTGGTGATTGGACAGAATAGAAACACCGTTTCAGTGACATTTGACCCTTTGAGGCTGAGAGAAGAGCAAACTGCAAAGGACATCGCATTGATCCACTGACTGTTTTCATTTGTCCTCCTACTGAAACAACAACACACTGGTTTTACCTATGAATTAAGGCGTAAAGATGTATTTGACCCTGAAGTGAACATCACTTGACTTTTACTATTTAAAGCAAAAATAAACAAATAGCCCACAAACCCCATTGGTGGCTTAATTTAGCAACAATCCAATGCGTCAATTTAAAATACAGGGTATTAAGACATGAATTAGCTGGAAAAGGTGAGAAATATCTACATTCAAATCAATCAAAAATCAAAGCCAAATTTACGCTGCGTCAATAAACAGGGTAAGAAAATAACTAGTGTCTATTTCACATGTAATTTTGAAATGAATTTTAAAAAACATTCAAATAAATATATACAGCGACTTAATTTATCATTAAATATTTATTCTTACATACAGTCTTTGTTATAAAAAAAACACGTGTACCTTAAAACTTGTTTGTAAATATAGTAGTAAAACCTCAGATAGACTGACCAAAATTTTAGTAATATCCAAAGATAGGTACCAAAATGAGTCGAGCAAAAATACGGCAATAAAGCCGATAAAAGATAGGACAAAAAACTTTTGGCGAATTAGGAAACCTGTAGTCGAAACTCATCCACTGGTCTGCACATAACAGAGTATGCAGATAACAGAGTCGACAGACACTTCGAGATCCCCCAGCGGCACGAACGCTTTAGGACAGTTGAAAAGACGGTCAAAACTCTTTGCGATTTTTTGGACAAAATTTTTCAAAAAGTGACTTAAAACGACTTTTTAAACGACGCGGGCTGGTCACGAACCTCGGACCATTAAAGCCTTATTCAGGTACTTCACCACTACACTAAGCGGGTTGCTCTAGAACAGTAATTGGTGTTTTATACTGAACAAAACTCAATTTGTTACAGAATTTGAAAAAAAAGTTGTCCACTGGATAAAAGACTAGTTTCCGATTTCCGAACAGAAAGATGCTCTCGCAAAAGTTAAGGTAAGTATCGAAGGTGAGTTAAAAGTAAACCTCTGTAAAAACAATCTTTGACGAAAACTTCAAAAAAAACTAGTGACAACTATTGCATCCGAATAAGATAAATTCCCATTTTTCTCAATTCAAAAACCTATGCAGCGAACTTTATGGATTGCATAAAGAAAGTTATTAATTAAAAATTTATTTTCGTTTTAATTGAACGACAATTTTAACCAAAATGACAAAATTTTACTCACTGCAAGTCATTGTTAGGATAACTATGAGCGAAATGATTGAATAGCCGTTTATTTGTGGATTGAAAAATAAAACACATCAATCAAAAAGTTATTCTTGGGTTATTTGAGCGACAAATTCAACCTAATCCTTTAAAAAGTAATCGCCGTTTTTTTTCTATTTATAAAATAAAATGAACATTTCAAGCCAGCTAAGAATGGTAAAAACTAAAGAAAAGGTTTCTGTTAATGATGCAGAAAATAATAACATATCAGTTGTTGTTGTTGTGATGTTCGGTTCCGTTCTATTTATAAATTTTCTGTAAGATGTCCCTGTGAATAGACTGGTAAAGCAGGAATTGCAAGGGAAAATGTGAAGTTGAATCTATTTTTGGAAAAAAGAGCCGATTTATTGACCAAATTGATCAGAAATTGTGACGACTTCGAAATATAAAGCATTACTTTCTCAGATATATACCCGGTTAATGGAAATGGCACCAATATATAGTAAAAAATTTAGGAACACAATATATACTTATAAATAGCCCACAAACTGCTTCAATCAATCGACAGGTCAGATTGCATATTGCTGGGGTTTTAGAATAGATACAACAAAGATGCTTTAGAAATTTTGCTTCCATTTGAGATAATTATTTGTTTTACGTCGAGTGCATATCATTGATCAAATTCAAAAAATATCAAGGTGAACAAATGTTAAGGTGAACAAATGTTAAGGTGAACAAATGTGTCAAGATAAAGTATCTAAAAAAAGAGATCTCTCTATTCAATTGGTATGAAGTGCGAACAAAGGAAACAAAAACAATCATTTAATTACGAATTTCGGCAACTAGACATAACAAAAGAATTTCCACGATTAAAATACATGTACCGTACCATGAGCAGCAACTGACGGCATTGAAAAAAGAGCAAGGAGGAGGCAAATAATGGATGTTAACTCAGGTCTAATTAATAGCATCAGCCGATGTTGAAAACATGTCAATTTAATTTTAAACTATTTTAAAACAATTTTTGTTTTCAAATTGCAAGTACATTTCTTTAATAAAGAATGGTTTGGTTTGGTTGTCGATAGATGAAAATGCGCAACTAATTACGTCACAAGCGGATACAATTGCGATTGCCGTTTTCAGGCCGTTTTTTCTTTTCCATTCAGTCCGCCGCAGTCCTTTTGAATGGAAAATGACGAAAAAAGAAAGAGCAAAAGTGCACTATTCTATTTTTAGATCGACCGCACATACCATTTCAGCCCCATTGTAACTCTAATCTTACCGCTATTGCCACTAGAGGCACATGATTAAACCCAACAACACTAGTCTGCTATTTTTAGAAACAAGAATATTGAGCTGCAAAGATTTTTTTATTCCCCAGTCGATTTTTGCAAAATCAGCAACACATATTGCCGAGAGGTTATAAAAAAATTGCGTGTGCTACTTTTTCTGTACTTGAAGTTGATTAACAACTGTCTTGAGAAATATTCTGCAAAACACAACGGATGATCTATTTAAAACAATACGAGAAAGGTTCTTGCTCAGCTGAACACAAACCGGATATCACCAACCATTCGAGAATTATTAGCATAAAATTCTAATTAAAGCAACACACAGATAGCTGCAGCTAACAGCTTTAGCGTGTTGAGATAGGTCACGTGAACGCCAAATCTCTGAATTGTGGCTGCCAAAATTTTCCTCATTTTTGACCGACTAACCTCAAATGCATTCATTTCTGAGGGGGAGGGCGGGGGTGAGGAGCTTAGACACACACACTCCCTCCTATTTTATGTTCAGAACAATGCAAAACGGGGTAGGAAGCAAGTCAAAACCATCGATTTAAATTTGCTAGAACACCCATAGACAGCAGCTCCCAGAAAGTATTTTAACATAGCCTATCACTACGATAAATAACGAAAAAAGGCGATTTTGCAAAGTCAGCTATTTGCAGTAACTCATAAACACTTACCGACTACTCAAAACCTAGCCTTCGAAAGAATTCCCTAAAAAAAATAAGAAGAATTCAGAAGCCGCGTAACCTCAGGTTTACTGTTTCACAATTTAAGTCTTTAACTCCTGTCTAGAAAGAGGCAAGAAAAGTTACTTAAAACGAAATGGGAAAAATTGATGTACCTTTTTCTTTGGCATCCAAACTTCGAAAACAAAAGAACTAACTAAATTCTGACCTAAATCACAAACACAGCCAACAGACAGTTGGAAAAGAGTCAATGACCGCAAGGAAACAGAAAAAAAAACAGATTTTTGTTTATTTTTTGAAAAATATCAAATTTGAAATTTCAAAATATAAAACATATGGCATTACAGTTACAGCTCTTTGAATTTCAAGAGCAATGACATATAGAACTATTTGAAAAAAAAATAACCCAATTTGAGAAAACTGGATTATTAGCGAAAGTTGTTGCATGGACAAAAAAAAATTAAATTTCATTTTCGAAACTAGAAATCGATCTTTTTTTCGCGCCATTTCAGCTTCCATAATTGGACAAGGCATTTTGCCTACTTATTTGCAAATAGACTTGAATTGAATTATACCTGAAGAATTTCGTATGATTGACACTTTTTTGATAAAACTTACCCAATTTGAGAAAACTGGATCAGTAGGTAAAATTTTTATTTCACTGGGAAAATCCATTTTCGAAACTGGAATTTGATCACGTTTTTTGTGACCTTTAAACTTTCGCTGTTCGATGGTGGAAATTTCCTTCCTTTTAACAAAGCAAATGAAATGAACTTGAAGAGAAATCAAAAGTAAAATTGCAAAAATCAAATTAGAGCCTGAACAAACTATTAAACTTTTCCTGAAAAGAAACAAAAAAAAAATCATCACTAGCTATACAAGAGTCTTCGCTACCTTCATCGACTCTTAATAAAATCTTCAAGAATATGTAGCTATACATAATATATTGACAAAGCAAAAAATTGCCAAAAAGTTACGTATTATCTTATGTTTCCGAAAAATTTTGGAATATCGATATCTATAACATGAAATAAGATGAAATCTAATTTTTAAGTCCAAACAAGCAACACATAAAGGGCATATTACTCAGCCAGAAAAATCCAAAGGTCCAGAATTATTTTTAGCGAAGTGAAAATATTCTTGAAAACTTTAATGAAAAAATTCATGCTTAGCAAAAAAAGAAGCGTGGGAGCCTCACACTTTTTAGTAAGAACACAAAAACATCATACAAAATTACAAGAAAAGGCTTAATTATTATTGTTTTGCTAAGAAACAGAGTATTAAGAAACCAAAAAGTTCGAACTTGTTTCTAGTTTCTAAAAAAAACATCCATATCACATAAACGAGTCTCAAAGTTTCAGTCTCAAATAACAGCTTCAGAATTGAATTAAGAAATCAACGGTTAAAATGTTGAACATCAGATTTTAGACGAAAGAAACCACACGACCAAAATAAGTGATTTCACTTTGCCCCTTGACACTTAAAAACTTTTTCGTTTATCAGTCAAAGCTCCCAAAAATTTTTCATGACACTTGCTACCCGCAAGCTTTTCAGTTACGTGGAAAAAAAAACATAATTAAATCAAAAAGGAAGCGGAGCTTCGCACCCCCTGCGATACAACGCAAGCGTAACATTGCAATCTCTTTTGAATTAAGGGAAAACGGTCGAAAAACACAACCACCAATATCTAAGCTTCTAGTATTCTTATTCGAACGGCCACTAAGCCGTAAAAACTTGGATAAGCTGGCACTAAGCCGACAAAGGTCAGGGGTTCGAAGCCCGTTTCCATCATAGTTGGAGGTGTCCCATGTCATCCGCCTCCTCAAGGTGGGACCGACTACGGCGAAATGGATGAC